TCTCCTCTGTGGAGTGGGCTGGAGAGAAAAAGTGGGAACCGGACATAGACACTGGGCCCGAGTCCTGGCTTGGGTACTTCCTAGCTGGAACCTTGAGCAAATCACCTAACTTCTCTGACCTTCAGTTTCCTCCTTGCCAACAAGGAGGTTGTTCTCTGGATTTAATGAACTAAATACAGGATGTCTTCCCTCTCCCCCGCCCCCAATGTATGCACACTTTGTCTGTAGGTTCTATTACATTTTGAAAATGAAATGTATTTTAATGAACACTGCCTTTATAATTATTCAAAGCGTGCATACATTTTTTGGGACATGCTGTATGTAAAGAGCCAAGATAGGATATTGGCTAATACGAGAAGATACTCCAGAAAATAGTTATTTGTAGTCTATTATTCTCTTTCCTGCTTTACTTTCTCATGCATCTCCATCCTGTCTCCTGAACTAGACCGTAGCTTCTCTGCCACATTTAACTTCTTTTCACATTGCCTGGCCCATGGCAGGCACTACAAATTCTTCCTGAGTTTCCTAAAGTTTTACATCAATTCAAATTCATTCACAGATTGTTTCTTAGTGTGAGGAATTCTCAAAGAATTTTTAGCAGGTCACTTCTGTTCGGGGCCTCAACTTCCTCAGGTGCAGAACAAGCGTTTGGGTCTGTATTTCTAGATGCACTGAGGTCCTCCTAGCATTAAAGTTTGGAATCTATATATTCATTGAGGGCACATACTATGTGTTGTTATTCTTTCTGACCACCCGACACTTAATACAATGGTGGCCCTGAATTAAGTGACTACCCAGTGCACGTAGAACCAATTCCAGACACCTCCCAGTCGTACCTCTTACCACTGATCCTCTCTCCTTGTACTCCTGGGCCTTCCCAGGCTGGGCCTGCCTTAAGGCCTTTGCACTTGCTGTTTCTCATCATTTGGTTCTCTGCCCAAGGCCTCCTCCATGGAGGCCTCTTGCTCCACCGGTCTATCCCACAACGCTGTTTTCATTTCTGTCACTGCTCTCTGCAATTGTCTTATCATTTATTTGACTTCATTGTTTGCATTCATTGTTTTGTCTCCCTACCTCTTCCTCTAGCCCCCCAACATCTTGGATCCTTTCATATCCCTGCTGCTAAAATAGTACTTAGCACCAACTAGGCCCCTAAATAAATGTGGCATGAATGAATGAATGAATGAGTGAGCCCTCTCATGCCTTATAGAGTAGTTTTTAGGTGGCAAGCTCAAATCTGTGGCTGGCTATCATGCTAGGTTCTAGTGGACCTCTTTAGGTATGTGTCCTACATGACTATTGCCATAGCTCTGAGTAAACATGGAGTGGGAAGAAACAGGAACTCCTAGAAAGAGAACCGCAAACAATTATATCAGTTTATCTAGAAACTTACTTGCAATGGAAAATTCAGATATAATTAAAGAGAATAATTCTTTTTATTAAGGAAAATTTCAAACATAAACATAAGTAGATGTGGTAGATAAGAAGAGCATATTGGACTTGCTTGTACACTGTGGTGGACACCCCTTAGAGTGGCCCCCCACCCTAATGTCCATTCCCTTGTATCTATAATCCCCTGAGTGTGTGGAAACCTGTGATTGGCTTTCTCACCAACAGAATATGGCACATTTGATGTCACCTCTGTGTGATTACTTATGTAAGATTGCATCTTGCTAGCAGACTCACGCTGGTGCCTCTCCTTGCTGGCTTGTTGAAGTCAAGTGGCCATGCTGGGGAAGCCCACAGTGACAATGAACTCCAGGTGCTCTCTAGGAGCTGATGGCCAACTCCAGCCGACAGCCAGCAAAAGGCCAGGGTCTTCAGTCCTACAGGTGCAAGGAGGTGAATGCTGCCAGTGACCTGAGTGTGGAAACTGATCCTTTTCCAGTTGAGCTCCAGACAAGAATGCAGCCAGGCCAACACCTTGCTGGCAGGTGTGAGACCCTGAGCAGAGAACCCCAGGTGCCTGGACACCTGACCCACGGGAACTGAGGTAATAAATCTGTGTTGCTTTAGGCTGCTAAGTTTGTGATAATTTGCTGCAATAGTTAACTAACATTTTTTAACAGCTTGCCAATATTGTTTCATCTATACTGTCATGTTTTGGGAGGAGTGGGTGGGCTGGAGTATTTTAAAGCACGTGGAAATACTTTAGTATGTATCTCTAACTTTTAAAAAACATAACCACAATGCCAAAAAATTAGGTCTTAATTGACAACAAGGATGAGAATCTTTATTTTAAAGCCATCACGTCATGGATCTTGATTGGGCACCCTGAGAAAAGTGCTTGTAATAATTCGAATAAGAATAGCATCCCATTGATCCCATGAGCTAAAGGGCAGGACAGCATATGAGAGCTTTCACTTGAAATGTCAGGCTTGCCAGTTGTTGTTGTTGTTTTTTTAACAGTGTAGCCAAAAAGCACTTAATTGTCCCCATAATGTGCTTATCCATCATGCAATATCTAACACCACTGGAACTCAATTCAGATTGTATAAGATCCTACTCATTCCCCTAACCTGCTTTGGGATGGCCGCTTGTAAATCCCATTTTTTAAAATTCTTAACTCCTTATAACTTCGTCTTTTTCTAATCGCCACCCCCACCACGTTTTCCTTACTGATCTTTTTCTCTTTTGATTAAACGAATCTCTTCTCCCTTTGACACAGCTCACCGAGGAGGCAGCGCTTTGCAAGGGAAATTCTCAGGGTTTGGGGCTCTATCCCATCTCCACCACAGGAGCGCTTTGTGATCGTTGGCAAGGAGTTGAGCATCTCCAAGCTGCAGACAGCAGTGCCTCGCAGGGTGAGGTACAGCCTGCACATATAACGTGCGTAACGTGTACAGTGCTAGCACGGAGGGGGCACGGCCGTCCCCACCGTTCTCTTTGTTAGCTCCCACCTCCGACCACCCAGCACCAGAAATGCCCAGCACCATGGCCTCTCCCGCCCTCGTCGCGGGGGATGCTGGGATTTGTAGTCCTTTAGTTCCCAAGTCGTTTCCTCTCGGAGCCGGACGGCGAGAGGAAGAACTACACCTCCCAGTGGGCCGTGAAAGGAAAGTGGGGCTCGGAAAACCGAGCGTTTGCGCCGGCTGCCTCCGCTCTCTGCTTCCCACGGGCAGTGCCAACCCGTGGAGGGCTCAGACCCCGCGGCAGGGCCGGGGAGGGTGCGAGCGCACCAGCGGAGCGGCGGGGGCTGCGGGGCGGGCACGCGTGGGCACGCGCGGGCGGAAGGTCCCTCCGCGGCGTGGGGGCTCGAAGGGGGAGCAGAGAAATAAAGTGAGCACGCTAAGCGCCCGGAGTGGAGACGTGAGAAAGGACAGGCCCGGGAGGCAGCAGCCCACGCAAAACAAGCCTCCGGGCTGGTCCTCCGGGCGGGAGGCAGGGGCCAGGCCCGGAAGCGGCCCAGACCGCTCCGCTGTCCTCGCCTCCCCGCGGGGATCCCTGAAACCTGGCCCGAGACCCCTGCCCGCAGCTCATCCCGCAGTCCGGCCTGTCTCGTCACCAGGCCCCCCTCCCACCCCACTCCCGAGCAGCACTAAAGCCACCCGCAGCTCGACCACGCGCCCCGCTAGGGGGGCAGGAGGAAGTGCCTGGCAGGCCCGGGAGGGTCACCTCTCCGTGCGGGGTCCTCGGGTCCCCAGAGTCGCTAGGAGGGGATGGTGTGTTCCGAGGCTGCAGCTGCTGCCGGGAACCCGGGGGAGGAACGGGGGCGGACAGGAGCCTGGCGGAGAGCGCACGCCGCGGGGGCCACGTCCTCAGGCGATGCGGAGGGA